TCAATGGAGCTACTATTAATGCTGGTGAAATTGGAGACTCCCACCAAGATTATCTGAATAAGTACACTGAAAAACCCATCTTTGTACTGGTGATTTAAAGAGCCTGTACCTCATGTACCAACTGAAGAGCTTTCTATACTTGCTTCCCCCAATTCCTACTGCAATCCTTTGAAGCCAAGGTCATTGTGTATACACTATCAACACTCTCAATGCTGTCAAGACTGTAAACAATGTACTTGAGACTAGATGATTTTTCATCATTTTTTGTTGTTATTGATTCTGAACTAACAGTGCTTAGCACCCACACTATAGTAAAAAATATGATCCGGGTATTCTTGATTTGGCGCAGTTCTATTACGACGTGCCAATTCACATGTAAATCCTTTCTCACAAATCTTTGGGGTTGTTTGAAATATCACGGACAAATTATGACAATACTCTTCTTCTCTAGTATGAGTTAAATGAAATATTTGAAAATGACGGTGATTACTTGTCTAAGATAAACAAAACAAAAAATAATTTACATAAATAGCGCCACAGACTCACAATTCAAACAATGATGCCAGAAATCACATTGCAAAGAATTGTATTGTGTCCGGTATAGCCACTACAAGAACATGGCTTGAAGTTAACTTTTTTGTTGAAACATGGCTGAATTGTCGTGTCCGCTGCTGCTCGCTGGTATATATTAAAGTCTGTATGGGAAGAACTGTGTCGTGATGAAATCTTTGGTTTGCCCATGTTCTTGTTCACACTCGTTGTGGGCTTGAAGCTTCTGGGCCAACGTCCTACGGTGCTGAGTCATGGGTAGGAGCGCTTGACCTGAAAATATACCATGAACTTGGTTCCGCGCTGGGTTCTTCCGTTCCGAAATTTCTATTGAATGGGAGTTGTTCCGCTGGGATTGGTACTGCAGTGGGAGCTTTACTGGGAGCTTCACTAGGGGCCTCACTAGGGGCCTCACTAGGGGCCTCACTGGGAGCTTCACTTGGAGCTTCACTAGGGGCCTCACTGGGAGCCTCACTGGGAGCTTCACTGGGAGATTCACTTGGAGCTTCACTGGGAGCCTCACTG